GGATGCTTTTAAAATTTCCCATGGCCCACAAGTATGTGGGCCATGGGAAATTTTAAAAACTCCATGCAGTCAACAAATCTTTTTTTTTTTTAGAAGAAATAAATATTTATCTTTTCTTTTTTTGTAAGAGATAGGGTCTCGGTATCTTGCTTAGGCTGGTCTCAAACTCTTGGGCTCAAGTGATCCTTCTGTCTCAGCCTCCCAAGTAGCTGGGATTGCAAGTGTGAGCCACCACTCCTGGCTAACACGTATTTCTTGACCATCCACCGGGTTCCAGGTACCCTTCTAGGGGCTGGGATACATCGGTGAACAAAACAGACCACTGCCTGCCCATATTAGCCTCCATTCTAGTGGGGGATAGACATGAAACAAGATAAATACACAAATATCTCACACATTAGATAATGATGAGTGCTGGGGAGAAAGAGAAAGCACAGGAGAGGTGGGGAGGGGTTGCCAGGGAGGTCTTCCTGATGAGGGGTTATTTGAATACAGACCTGAAGCCACTGAGGGACAGATCCTGGTGAGCGTGGAGGGGAGGATTGGGACAAGCAAAGAGGCAGGGCAAGGTGTTGAGGTGGGGCCACGTGTGGCACTTTGGAGGACAGTGAAGAGGCCGGTGCTGCTGCAGGGAGGGAGGGAGCGGGCAGAGAAGAGGATGTCCAACACGGACCTTGGTGCCAGTTCCCCCAGGACTGTGTAGGGCTCAGTGTGTGCTCTAGTGAGAGGGACGCCTTGGAGGGCTCTGAGCAGAGGAGAGTCATAGCTCACTCATGACTCAGCTGGATCACTCTGGCTGCTGGGTTAGATAACAATACATTACTAGTAAATGTTGACCTTTTTTTATTTTTTGAGACAGAGTCTCACTCTGTCATTCAAACTGGAGTGCGAATAGTGTGATCTCAGCTCACTGCAACCTTTGTCTCCCAGGCTCAAGCAATCCTCCTCCTCAACCTCCAAGTAGCTGAGACTACAGGTGTGCTCCATCATGCTCAGCTATTTATTTTGTATTTTTGGTAGAGACAGGGTTTCACCATATTGCCCAGGCTCGAACTCCTGACTTCAGGTGATCAGACCACCTCAGCCTCCCAAAGTGCTGGGATTCTAGGCATGAGCCACCACCCTCAGCCAAATGTTGCCTATTAGTTTTGAAATGTTTTTTAAAATTGTGGTAAAATAGACATATCAAAAAATTGGTCATTTTAACCTTTTTTTTTTTTTTTGAGATGGAGTTTTTGTTTAGTCACCCAGGCTGGAGTGCAATGGTGCAATCTCCACTCATTGCAACCTCTGCCTCCCGGCCTCAAGCGATTCTTCTGCCTTAGCCTCCCGAGTAGCTGGGATTACAGATGCCCGCCACCATGCCAAGCTAACTTTTGTATCCTTCAGGACTTCTTATTGAATTTGTATTGGAGCCTCTCAGCCTATTATTCATTTATTTATTTTCAAGACAGGGTGTCGCTCTGTCACTCAAGCCGGAATGCAGTGGTGTATCAGCCTCAAATTCCTGGGTTCAACAATCCTCCTGCATCAGCCTCCTGAATAGCTGAGACTATAGGCAGGTGCCACTATGTCCAGCTAATTTTTTTCTTGCTTTTTTTTGTTTTCTTTTTAAAAGAGGAGGAGATCTTGCCATGTTGCCCAGGTTGATAAACTCCTGGGCTCAAGAGATCCTCTCACCTTGGCCTCACAATGTGCTAGGATTATAGGCCTCAGCCACTGAGCCCAGCCAAGCCTCAGCCTCTTAGCCATATCTCTTACCTATTATTTCATATTTTTATGTTTTTATTTCATCTGCATCCTGGGTGAATTTCTGGGTATTACTTTTTAGTTCCTTAATTTGTTATTCAACTTTGTCTAGTATAAGGTTTATTTGATTTTAATGTTATAATTTTTACTTGTATTTTCTGCTACTAAGTTTTCTGTTTGATTCTCTTTATATTTTTTATTTCATTTTGGCATTTTTTTGCATTATTTCTTGCATTTAAAACTGAATTGTTAGTTTTCACTTGTTTTAACATAAGCATACTTCATTAAAATATGTTTGGTAGACTTTCATAAAGTTAATTGAGCTAGAATTAATTTATATTCTGATGTCGATACTGTTATTTTTCTGAGCATGGCTTCTTTGCTCAGAAGTTTTGGTTATCAGGGTCATTTTGAGTTGGAGAACTTTCAGGTGATTTTGATTTGGAGGTTTCTGGGTTTTTGTTTTTGTTTTTCCTCTCTCTTCTTCTGAATCTGCCGCTTCTTACCTAATGGTTCCGAATTTGACTTCATCTGTCCTCCTAAATCCAAAAGTAAGCCGTAAGCCTAATTACTGGGTAGATTGGGTGGTTGGGTTGTTACACTGGGGTGCTATTGGAGTCATCACAGATCTAGGCATCTGGCGAACTGTGACCCTGGTTCAGTTCCTCATTAGGAGGCAGTGTCTATGTCCTTTTCCCTCTCTAGACTTAGCTTTCTAAAAGCCACAGCCCCATGCAGTGGTCAGTATTTTTTTAATGGTCCCTTTATTTAAGTAAAATCCCACCCAAATCTTTGTCTTAAAATAATAAGCCTGCCGGGCGCGGCGGCTCAAGCCTGTAATCCCAGCACTTTGGGAGGCCGAGGCGGGTGGATTACGAGGGCAAGAGATAGAGACCATCCTGGTCAACACAGTGAAACCCCGTCTCTACTAAAAAAATACAAAAAATTAGCTGGGCATGATGGTGTATGCCTGTAATCCCAGCTACTCAGGAGGCTGAGGCAGGAGAATTGCCTGAACCCAGGAGGCGGAGGTTGCGGTGAGCCGAAATCGCGCCGTTGCACTCCAGCCTGGGTAACAAGAGCGAAACTCCGTCCCCAAAAAAATAAAAAAAATAAAAAAATAAAAAATAATAATAAGCCTGGTGCTAATTCCCTGTCTCAGGAACTGAGCCCACAACCACCACAGACTGCTCTTAGGCCTGAAGCCCAGCACTATCCCCACTCACCACTCTGCCCATTCTTTTCCATTTCTGGTTCACTGGAATGTTTATCTTAGCTTGAGCACAATTATATTTTTAACTGTTATTTAACATCTTTTTTGAGATACAATTCACAAACCATAAAATTCAACCAATTAAAATATGCAATGCAATGGTTTTAATATATTCACAGAGTTGTACAACCATCACTACAATCTGGAAATAGAAGGTGGTGATGGTTGCACAACATTGTGAGTGTACTTGATGCCACTCAATTGCGTATTTTTAAAATGAAGTGGTAAATGTTATGTATATTTTATCTCAATTGAAAAACATGGTGGCTGTGGCCCTTATATACCTATTTGGGTATATAAGCCATGTGTCTTGGGGTCTGCTAGTATTAAAGCTCACCTCTTTCTTGGGGCCATGCTGTACTTCGATTCTTCTGTCTGAAATAAGATGTAAATGTCAGGACTGTTTTAGATAGACAACAATCAAAGAGTTTCCCATGCCTTTTATAAAGTATAGCTTCTAGCTCTCGATCTACAAAGTAGTAATATTCAACTGAAAGGAAGAGGGAGAGAGGGAAGGAGAGTGGGGAAATCTTCAATCATTTGACTGGTTTTGACCCAAGGAACAGCACTGCTGTGAGCCATAGCCCACAGCTAAACGTCTATAGGAGCATCTATAGGAGCTAAACATCTATGGGGGAGTGGTGGGGAATCATTGTAGCAAGGCTCTGAGATTTTTATTACTTTCTCTGAGGCAGAAATCATGGGACTATGTTGAAATCCAATTACAACTTTCTTTGTTGTTTGTTGTTGTTAAAGGATATAATGGGATATATCCTTACAAAGCTTATAATGGGATAAGCTTCCCTCTAATCTATTCATTAAGATTTAAGCTTTACCTGAGGCTGTCTTCTAGGGGATCTGGGCTAAGACTGTTTCTAGAAGGAAAATTTATTACATCATGGTGTAAAGTGTGTCAGGTCCTAGCAATCCCTTATGACACAGGTATCAAAATAGTTCAAAATGAGGGCAGACATAGGAAGCAAAAGAAAAGAATATGTAAACTTCACCTATTTGTAAGTTTGCTTACATCTTACCATACCACATTGGTTTCTGTAGCAATAGCCTCAGAAGATTCATCATAGAAATATGAACAGATGGGAAGCAGACAATGTAAAATGTGTGCCCACGTTTGGGCAAAGACATTGCTGAATCTGTGTCAGAACTGTATTTCTGGAATCCCAATTTATAGACAGGAACCTTTCTGGACTGTTTTAAAGAAAGGATAGTAGATATCTTCTAGTCAAAATTCCTCTAATTACACATGGTAAGAAAAATTCTCTGTGAAGATAGAGATTAAATAGTTGTGATAACTGATGGTTCTAAAGAAATCCTTACTCATTAGGGTTGCATTTGCACTTAGTTCACACTAAGGCGCTAAGGATATCTTATGAGTCTAGCCTATCTTTTATAGCTCTCCAACTTTTAAGATGATCTCATATGACCAAGGATGGTCCTCTGGCCGATACTTACCCAGTTAATTGCATTACTTCGTGTTTCAACTGTAAGGATGTAGCCTAAAGGTGGTTTTTATTTTGTGTGCTTTCTTAACTTTGCTTAAGTGAATATTTTGATTAAATTTCAATATTGTGCATCCTGTGAAAAGAAAATATTTAATAGATTACTATGCTTAGGGTTTACATAATATATCCAATAAGCACCATTCACTTAAGCATCTACTATATTTTGGCTACTACATGGCGTATAGATGGCAAAGATGAATATTTACAGACTATTCTTAATAAAGTTACTATCTCCTGAACATTAATCAAAAAGCTATGATACAAGTTAGAATGAGAACTAGAAAAGATATCACATCTCAACTTTCTATTCTATCCATAAATACAGAGGATGGATAAATTTTATCTTCAAATACCCAGAATGGGTATGTTTTTGCCCTATATAACAGTGTACTGTATATAATACATATATTGGATATTGTATGCAAGTTCACAGAATATTTTCTCTATGTTAGTATGTTAAGGAATGTAGATGCAAGAGGTGTTCCTGGAATTCCATGGCTCATTAATGAACAGAAGCTTTTTGAATGGGCAAATGAAGTCAGAATTGATCCAAATAATCCAGAATATTCTGATTTAATGGAATTTGTTATGGTGAGTTAAAACAAATATCAATACTGTGAACATATTCTACTTCCTAAGCTCTACCCCCTCCCTCCCCCATAGTTTGCTATATATTTTTCTAGGCTCTAGGGTTCATGTAAAAGTAAATCTGAGGACAGAGACCATTTTCAACCAGCATACAATACTGTAAAGGCAATTAGAAACTCAGCAATGGAAATAATTCCTCCTTTAGGCCTGATAGATGGTCTTCTGCCACCACTTAGCAGCCACAGCACATCCGACAGTCTTTCATGCTAACATCTATTGTGCAGTTACCATGTGCCAGCCATAGTATTAGACACTGAAGGTATTGAGATGATTTGTAGACACGCTCCTTCTCTCAGACTCCACTATATAGACACTTCTACTCTTCTTTACAGCCAACTGAACTTCTCTATATACCACAAACATGCTTTCTTCATACCTTTATTCATGCCACTGCTCTGCCTAGACGGGCATCCATAGTGATTATCTTACTAACCCTGTAAGTCTGATAAATGCTTCCCTGGTAACCTCAGTTAGGCACCGCATCTTCTTTCCTTGCTTTCCTGTTAACCTTTCTTCTTTTTTTTTTTTAAAAAAAAAAAAAAAAAAAAAAAAAACAATTTTTTTTTTTTTTTTTTTTTTTTTTTTTTTTTTTTTTTTTTTTTTTTAAAAAAAAAAAAAAAAAAAAAAAACAACTCTTATGACTCTAATCTCATTCTGGCTTTTATTATAGTTATTTTATTTTATTTTATTTTTGACATAGAGTCTTGTTCTGTCTCCCAGGCCGGAGTGCAGTGGCACAATCTCGGCTAACCACAACCTCTACCTCCCAGCTTCAAGTGATTCTCTTGCCTCAGCCTCCTAAGTCACTGGGATTATAGGCACACACCACTGTGCCTGGCTAATTTCTGTATTTTTAGTAGAGACAGGGTTTCACCATGTTGGCCAGGCTGGTCTTAAACTCCTGACCTCAGGTGATCTGCCTGTCTCAGCTTCCAGAAGTGCTGGGATTATAGGCGTGAGCCACCTTGCCTGGCCTACTGTAGTTATTCATTCATATATTTTATTTTTCCTTGTGGAACTACAGCTACTAAATCTGTGTCTCTCTGATGGCAGCGAGCATTGTTCTTTGCATGTACAATGCACTTGACTTTGCATTTGTTGAATAAAGCAACCCATAAATTAGATTACTGGAAGTAAGCTCCCTAGATTAGAGCTGCTTAGCTGAGGTGCAGAAGTGGTTATAGGTATACAGAAATATTGATCCTCCCTCAACTCAGGATTACCATATAGAAAGAGTCACATCTGTCCTATTAGTGTACAATACAAATTTCAGTGTACAATACAAATATTTTCATTTTCTTTGTAAGTCATGATTGGGAAAAGGTTGGGAAGCCACAAAGGCTAGATTCTGGATTTTTAAATTTTGTTTTGTTTTTTATATGTTCTAGCCTACAAATTCAATTGCTCCATTTCCTACTTATATTGCTACTCTTAGATCTCACAGTTGAGGGGAAAAAAAGTCTTTTAAAGTAATTCCTGAATTTAAAAAATAATAATATTTTAAGTAAAGACGTTGCATTTTTATGTTTTACAGTACATGAGCCTTAAGGGGCAGGATATTCCAAAGTATTTCCGGCTTGAACAGTTGCAAGATGAGTTTAACTTTGTTTCTGAAGAGGAAATGGAAAAGAGTAAACGTTTCCAGCTATTGCAACTTAGAAATGCAGGTCAATTAGATAATTTCCTTCTACAGCAAATGCCCCTCCATGATATAGAGATTCCAGATTTAGTCTTCCAGGTATTTGGTTTCTATTTGAATATGGCTTATTGTATGATAAAGTTAACATTTTGCTGCTTTAACCTTATTTCTTTTTTTTAAAGCTAATAATCTGTAGACAGATTTCCTCCCTTCTCTTTAGGGATTAAAAATGTACATTTCTCCCAAATTCCAGAAATTCTTCAGCTTGACTTTGCAATTTAGTGTTGTCCAAACAGTCTATTTGGTATTCAACAGCCCAAATCCTTTAGGCATATTCTAAATTTATGTTACTATTATATTTTTGTTATCACAGCTTTGGGATTAAGGGGGAGAGACATTACAACAATAAACTTAAACATGAATTATAAAGCACATCTCAGTGTTAGAATCTTTAAAATATTTTTAAAAGAGAACAAAAGCTGGAATGCACAATAGGTTCTCACCAGCTGGTGCCAGCCAGCTCTACCATACTATCAAATAAAGCTAGCTTTTCATATTAGTTGCTTTAAGTTTGCTACTTGGTAAGATTTGAATGTGGATCAAATATTAGGTAATATTGGAGAATTACTGGCAGTGCTTACAGCATTGTGGTTCCATAGAAGCATGTCCTTAGTCCTTGGACATTCATGCTGATGTATTTCTCTAGAGATGCTTAAAGTGTCATGATGGCTGTAATTTACTTGGTAATATGTTAGCTAAAAATAAAATAAATAAAAACAGATAAAACAAATATGATAAAATATTAATTATTTAATCTACAGGGTAGAGATATGGATTTTAATATTTCTCTGGGAGGCCAAGGCAGAAGGATAGTTTGAGTCCAGGAGTTTGAGAGCAGCCTGGGCAAAATAGTGGGACCTCATCGCTACAAAAAAATAAACAAAATTAGCTGGGCATGGTGGAGCACACCTGTAATGCCAGCTACTTGGAGCTGAGGTGGGAAGATCACTTGAGGTCAAGGCTGCAGTAAGCTGAGATCATGCCAATGCACTCCAGCCTATATGACAGAGTAAGATCCTGTCTTAAAAAAGTAAAAATTACACACACACCCACATACACATGTGTGTGTGTGCATATGTATTTCTACTTTTCTATATGTTTGAAAGTTTGAAAAAAAAAACTTAAACAAAAATAAATAGCACCTAATATACCAGTAAAATCCCACTAAAAATGTAATTTAACAAATATATCACTTGTAAGAGCAATAAAGACTGTAAGATACATAGCAATATATTTAGCAAAAGTTGTGCAAAACTCAACAAATAACATTTTGAAATATTTTTGAATGATAGACAAAAGAATCTGAGTAAATGTTCATTGATAGGAAGAGTCAGTATTGTAAATTGCCAATTCTACCTATATTAAGTGGTAAATATAGAAATGTAATTCCCAACCAATGAAATAGAATAGACTTATTATGTATATGTGGAAACTTTATATTTGATAGCACTGCCATTACAAATCAGCTGGAAAAGAATGAAGGATGCATTAAGTGGTTTTGGAATCATTATTCATACATGTGGAAAGAAATAAAATTAGATTTAGACATCATAAAATAAATAAATACCATGTGTCATGAAGATTACTTGTAAAAAGCAGAATTTCAAATGGGCATTTCAATTTTGGGATACAAAGGTATTTCTTAAATAAGACACAAAAAAGTATAAATTATAAAGAAAAAGATTAATTAGCTTTTTTGTTTGTTTGTTTGTTTGAGATAGAGTCTCACTTTGTTGCACAGGCTGGAGTGCAATGGCATGATCTAGGCTCACTGCAACTTCCACCTCCTGGGTTCAAATGATTCTCATGCCTTAGTCTCCCTAGTAGCTGGAACTACAGGTGTGCACCACCACACCTGGCTAATTTTTGTATTTTTAGTAGAGACGGGGTTTTGGCATGTTGACCAGACTGGTCTTGAACTCCTGACTTTAAGTGATCCACCCCCCTTGGCCTCCCAGAGGGTTAGGATTACAGGCATGTGCCACAGTGCCTGGCCAGATTAATAAATTTTGTAACATTAAAATTAAAAACCTACAGACTAGAAAAGTTATTCCCAACACATATAACATTAAAATATTAATATCCAGAGTATTACGTTAACTCCTAAAAATTGATACTTTAAAAGTAAAGTGATATGAAATAGTGATATGATTTTTCTTTTTCTTTTTTTTTTTTTTTTTTTTTTTTNGAGTGCAATGGCGCGATCTTGGCTCACCGCAACCTCCGCCTCCTGGGTTCAGGCAATTCTCCTGCCTCAGCCTCCTGAGTAGCTGGGATTACAGGCACGCACCACCATGCCCAGCTAATGTTTTGTATTTTTAATAGAGACGGGGTTTCACTATGCTGACCAGGATGGTCTCGATCTCTTGACCTCGTGATCTACCCGCCTCGGCCTCCCAAAGTGCTGGGATTACAGGCTTGAGCCACCGCGCCCGGCTGATATGGTTTTTCTTAAATAAAAGTTGTTACTTGCAAAAGAATTAATTTCAGGATTTTTAATGGATAATTAGAAGGACAAGTAACATACTTTCAGATAATGGAGCATGCGTTCTTTCATGGCTGAAGATTCTAAAGTATTCACTTCATTATTTTTGTATAGTCTTTAATAATATCTATAATATAAAATCGTTTCCACATACATTGGGGATATATAATACAGAAAATGTATAAATAACAAATGCAAATTTACTTTATTTAGATGAAGCATCCACCTGCGGTAAGTGAAACGCCAGAATGTTTCCAATGTCCTACACGTGAACTGAAGTGACTAGTGATATTTATTGCAATGTGTTGTATATGAACTCTTTGTTACATTCAAGAAGTGGAACTAACAATTCTGTTTTTAGGAGTATGAAAGTCAGAAAGAGAAGGAGGTATCCATTTCAGATGTAAATTCTATTATAGCACAAAGGATGAATTCTGCCAATTTTCTGAAAAAGGTAACAACAACAGCAACACAGTATTATCAATATATTTGCATTTGCTTTTATGAAAATGGGGCTGCTAGATACATGGTATTATAGTCCTTCCAGAGATTCAGATGGACAAATCCACTCACTCGTTACTTTTCTGATCACTGAGGAGTTTTCTGTTCTTTCAGAGTTAGTTTCCTTCTTTGACAGTGAACTCATTATTAAAGCACATCCCAACCTTTTCTGTTTAAATTTTTAAAAATTCCCATCTCTTCTTCAACTCTAAAAGTTCACCTTGAGAGATAATGCAGCATTTTGCCAGAACTTCTACATTTCCTGGTGCCTCATGATATCATGGACCATAGCAATTCAGGAGATGAAGGGATGAAGGAGCTACCAGAGGCACAGAGACAGTATTTGAGAAATAGATATGCTTTGAAACAAAGCCAAATAGTAAACATTTACAGAACACTCTAGCAAACCAGGTTTGAGTGGTATCTTTCACTGGATTTCATACCCGATTTCTATCGACCCCTCATCACTCCACTGGACTTAGAAGCTTAGTGCAGGGGCTACATCTACAGATTCTTAGTGCCTAGCGTAGTACCCTACACTTGGAAAATGCTGATAAATGTTTGAGACATTAACGAAGTAAAGGATGAGAGCTGAGGTGGTTTCTACAACTCCTACAAAAGTAGATTCTCACCCCCTACATCTTCTTTGCTGTAGAGTACCAAAGCAGCCTTGCAGGGTAATTTGAAAAGAAGCAAAGAAAGCTACAGAAATATATAAGAGACACATTCCAGATCCCTCATGGGGACAGGTGAGAGGCAGCTACATTTAGCTAGTGGAGCCCCAGGCAGGTGTCTGAAAATCTGTTCTTACTACCCTGTGTGTCACTGGCAAGTAACTGAATCACTGAGTCCCACTTGATTTTTTATAAAAACAGACAATATTAATGCTTTGCTTTACGTCCAATGTGAGGGGTAAATGAGATAAAACCACAGTGCTATTCCAGTTCGTACACCACGACTGTGAGATGGAATGTGGACTGCTCTAGCTCTTCCAGACATGAGAGAGCCCCTTTATCACTGGCAAGTGTTTTCCCACCCATCCCTGCCTCTCTCACTCCTTCTTTACTAGCTCTCTCTCTGTATTTTTTAAGTTGGGATGTGCTTTAATAGTGAGTTTGTGGTCTCAGGAAACAAAAAAGTGTTCTTGCTTATAAAAAAGGGGAACACACACCCTTCTTATCCTGTTTCTTCTTTTTTATATAAGGAGAAGCCCAGGAGGGAGGGTAGCAGAGGGTTAGGAAGGACATAAGAGAGCAAGTATCTGAGGATGCTTGAACTTCATACAGGAATCTGGACAGGAACTTTATAAATATTTTGTGTTCAGATTTTAACTCCTTGTGAAGAATTCTTTGCTATCTGACAACAGTTTAAAACTACAGGTTTGAAAAATAAAATAATATAAAATGAAACTACAGGTTTGGTAGTTTTATGTGATAACTACTGTAATCAAAGACACTGGAAAAGTTTTCTTCTGGAGGCCTATTGGGGCCATAGGTGCCCAAATCCTTCCATGGGAGTTACATGCATTCCATTTCCTGCTGTGTTACTGGAGTCAGTGATAGCTGAGGCCAGGGTTACAGCAGTACAGAGTGAGGTCCCAGTAGTCTCAAATATTACTGGATAAATTTTTACTGAAACGTTTTCTCTAAGAGGGTAGCACATCTCTTCAATCTGTCCATTTCATTAATTTATTCAACGAATATTTATTGAGCACCTACTGTAATCCCTGAGCTCCTTGAGTATATATTCTGTAAGTCAGATACTGGAAGACACATTATTAGTATGTTACAGAATGAAAGGTGCTATGAAAAATAAAGCAGGAAGAGGGAACAAGAGTTCTGCGATGGGGGGGGGTTGGGGTGAGTAGGGGCACAATTTTAAGTAGAAGCGGTCAGGGAATCTGGTAAGAAAGTAACACTTCTGCAAAAGACCTAAAGGAGATGAGGAAGCTAGCCATGGAAGTTTTGGGAAGAGTATTCTAGGCTGATGGAACCCATACGTGAAAACTTGGCATAGAAGCACACCTGTCCTGTGGGAGAAACAGCCAGGAGCTCAGCCTGTGTCGTGCCAAGGGAGAGAAGAAGAGAGAGAGTGGGCAGTGAAGGGGCCACTGGGGTCTTGTTCACCTTCAAGGGAAACAATGTGTTGTCTGTGTGCCAAGATGGTTTTTAGGAGTTTATGTTTTTCCCATTTGTCTCCCACCACTCCCATTTTCCTACCCACTTCAAGAAGACAACTAGGGCCTAGGTTACATTGTCTCCAGAATGATTTTTGAAAGGACAGAAAGCAGAAAATTGCCTCCAGAAACGCCTCTGCCTGGTTTCATATCTGAAAACCCAAAGACGGGGTAAAATAAGAAAGGGAAGGATTTCCTCAGACTAAAAAGGAGATGTTCAGAGTCTTTGGAGGAACTAAGGTCAGTGAGTTCTCCCAGTAGGAAGGGCTCAGGGAGGCGGCTCCCTTCAAGCACTGACTTTCTTGCCAGGCTTCCAGAATGAGGTCCTAAAGTCAGAATAGGATTGACTGAAAGGAAATGTAGAAATGGGATCACATTTCCTTGGGTTTGCAGATCAACACTCATGTCCATTAGTGGCTATCATAGAAGTGGATTCACCGGGCAGTTGTCTCCTTTGGTGAAAACTAGTTCTGGCCACGTACACTGTGAGTTAGATGAAGAAAGATATGAGAGCAAAGAGTTTAAGATGAGATGAACTGGATGTAGAAGCACAAAAAAAGTGGAAAGAAATAAACTAACTTTGGTGTGACCATGTGAAATTTGGAAATGACTTTAATAATGGCAACAAACAATAGTATTTTCACTTGTCTAATCCCCTGCTCCATCCATTGCTTGCAAAAATTAGGAGTAAAATCTAGTGGTACCAGTAGCACTGTAAATGCTTAACCTTAAAATATAAACAATACATTTATTTATTAAATTCTAATTTTTTTTTAGGTGAGAAGGTTGATAATGAAGAGAATTGTTAAAATTACCAAATGCAACTTGTCAGATATTGTGACTGATTATGAAGAAATTGTATCTACAAGGTAACTGCTAAAGACTATTAAGTATGAAATATAAACCTTAAAGATTATCCCTTTAAAATCTTCTAAGTTTTCTATTTTTATTTTAATTAAGCCATATGTCAAAAGATACAGTTTCAGATCATAAAGTAAAATATGATGACTTAAAATAATTGGTCAATTTAAAGTTGCATTTTGGGATATCTACATGTTATAGTTTCAATTATATAGTATTTGGGGCAGATTTTGCCCTCTCCTTCAACAGACTTTAGGGCAAGAAAGAAAAATACAAGAAACATCTTTGTCCCAAATTAGTTTTGCCCTTAGATTTCCTGTCCTGAGACTGCTACGGGAAAAGTTGTTGCTGCTAGCATCTTGCTCAGCCTGTAATCTCCCCTTTGCAAAATGGAGAATCCTCAGCTGTACAAAGGCACTGAGATCCACACGCAGCAGTTGGGGGAGTGTTTGCTGAAGTAACTCAATTCTCATACTGTCCTATCTGTGAACTAAGGGTAGGAACAGGGCTGTCTCTGGGAAAACTTCCTGGAGGTCACATGTAGACTCTTGGAATGACCAATGAGGTTTTAACTGGTTTAGGATACTGAACTCTATTGTGTTTTACTTTTCAGTCCTTGCGGGGGAAAATGCGTGTGACCATAAAACTATACTTCCATGGATTTGTGTTGCCCAGGTTGGTGGCATATATAACTAACTCTAGTTTCAGAGCCATGGAGAAAATGTTAATATTCAGGCACTTTCAAGAGAATGATTCCTCAACAAAAAATGATCTTCCAAAAGATCATCATGTTTCATGGCTTTACCTATCCATGTTCACATCTATCTCTCTTTGAACCATATACCCAAAGGGCAAGGAACAATCAGTCTCTCAATATGAGGGAACATGGCATCTCTTCCTTCCTATGCTAAGAAAAATATTTCTTCCTTGAGTTTAAGACAACTTCTCCACAATGCAGAGAATATGATTCAGAATAATGGTCTCATTTCAGTTACTCAAAAGACTGATATCTTTTAAAGCCATGTTTTTTAAAAAAATGTAAATGAGACTGATGATCATTTGTTCACTCTTTAGCCAATTGACAGATGCAGTTTTTAAGTTTGTTGAACCACGAAGAAAGTTAAAACCTCAGAGGAAAGAAAGGAAAAAAGTCACAGCACAGACGATCTCTGATGGAGATATTAAGATTCTTGTTCGAATAGTGAGGGCCTATAATATTCCTACGAGAAAAACAACAATTAATAGGTAAGGCAATATGCCCCAATTTTTAGAGTTGCAAAAGATCTATCTTAAATGTTATTAATTCTCCGTGCTGTTATATTTGGAAACCTTATATTTGGAAACTTTGTTAATACTCCATAAACATAAAATGAATGAAAATTGAAATCTTAATTTGCATAGTCAAACCTGTCAATGCCATGTATTAAGAGTTTTCTGAAGTTCGACATTCCCAGAGTAACTTTAACATGCATATTTTGAGGGTGTTGGCCGCATGTTCACCTTCTCATATTATATCAAATAAATGCCTTTATCTCTATGTCCTGTTGTGAAAATTCTGAAGTTTCTGCTGCCAACTGCCCTATTCCATGCCACTGGCTCTCTCAGTATTGGAAGCAGAAAGCTGGAGAAAGTCAATGGGACACTAATTTTCTTTTGGGAAGTGCCCCAGAAAAGCTGTGAAGCAAATGTGGAATGGTGTATAAAATCAGAATTGCTACAATTACACCCTGTTCTCTTTTAGACCTGTTGTATTTAGGTAACATCTACAAATATAGGATTTCACCCATCCTTTCTGTAGGTGCCCCAGTGGGTTTTATTTGTGTTTTGGGGGCAGAGGATAAATGGGGCCAGAGTGTATATCACCAGTGGGTGGCCAAAGTATGGCATCATGAATATTAAGTGCCCACGTGTA